ATTTATTTCATATTACTAGAGATCGCTAATCTTTTTTTGGGTCCGAAATAGTATTCGAATATGGTGTTTCAACACTCGAGACGAAAAGAAATCAACGCCGATTTACGTAATTTTATGCAAATTAGAATCTGGGTTTGTTCTGAATCGATATCTCCGCCAATGGGCCTAGTTACCGACATTTTCAGTTCCTTCTTCGACCACTAACTGTCGCTACCGTCGCAAAATTCCAAAGAAACGCTGCTCACAGTTATTTACCAGTGCCCGTTCGAAATTTCAATAACCTAACGAACATATTCGATCCACTTTTACCGAACTGTCCAGCCCGTCGTGCGAAACGCAATTACGAGTTATTTCAACCTCGATTATAAATCACCGGAGACATTTAACACCACTGTACCACGCATTACGAAGATAAACAACATTCAGATTGTCTTTCGGTGTGATAAAATTAATGTTATCAATATTTGCAAGAACGTTGTCTGCAACTGCGAACAGAAATTCTCACGGTAGTAAGTCGATAACAAAATCGAGGCCACTTCCGGCTTTCATCCCCGAGGCCTTCTTAAATACTACGCGTAATTGTACAAAAATTAAACGATCGATCTTCTTGATGCAACAAATTCTACTCCAATTACGAATATACAAAGTGTGCTTCTTATATATACGAAAACAACGATCGATAAAAACAAAAAAATATTTCCCGTACGTAGCATTTTCATAACGTTTCACATTTTCTGCTTTTGCAATTTTTGCAACAAACGATAAGGTGTGTGAAGTAAGCCAGGTTACAACATCGCGAAAAGAGACAAGCAACGACGTTGTAAAAAGTATAGAAAACATCGATATACAGTGCAGCGTATTTTTCTATAATGTATTGTACCCGTTATATCATTATTCTGGCAACGTTTCCGTGTTGTTTTTCTATAGAAAAGCAATATTGGAATCTGTGGAATTCTTCTGGTGGTACTGGACGAGTCTACGAACAGGGCACTCTCATTCAAGAATGAACGTCGAAATGTGAGCGTATCGTCTAAAAATACTGTTGGTGGGCCGAGGTGCGCCTAGCAACAGAGATTGCATAGAAGCATAACTATAGTGAACGTGCGTGTTTATACGTCGAGGCACAACGAGGACACGGAGTTACGGAAAAAAGGAGCCTGACAAACAACCGTGTTCAATTCTGTTAAAACGGTTTTCATAATTTTTTTTTCCTACGAACCTACAGCCGACTTCTTGTCACGTCAATTTTTACGATTATTTCCTGTTTTTCAGTCGTTCGTAACGAAACGACCGATACACGTTTATCAGAATAAAATTTCGATATTAAATAAATGAAATTTGAATGCTTATCGAGCGATAAAAAAGATAATTTAGCCTGCACGGTGGACAAAAAGAATACTGTTTGTCGTTGGAAGACAGAAGATGTTTTATGTGTACTTCTCGAGGCACGAGACCAAGTGTCTCAGCCGATAAACATTGAAAAGAGTACAGATTGCAGAAAGACACGTGCATCATAATTTGAAGGAGGCTCACTTGTGAATAGAGCCACGTAGCACTTCGAACGAGTGAAAAAATAAAAGAAAGTATTTCAAAATATTTCCGTTCGAACAGTGTTACTCGAACTTTCATTGATCATTTCTGTCCACGCGAGGAAACAGTTCTGATTCACCGAAGAAATTCTTGCATAATCCCCTGACCTCGATTTTACAACCACGCGACGATCAAATAATTTCAATTGAAATAAACGTTTAAGAAGAGGAGGGTACGACGTGTCCCTACTCCGAGACTTTCGTTTCAAAACGAAAATAAAGAAGATAATAAAAATTAAAGTGTCACTTACCAAAAAGTAAATACGTACAGATCCAGACACCTGCTTCTTAATCAACCTCGAGTATTTTCTACCGATACAGCTTCCGTTGCACCTGTACCTGTCTCAATTTTTTCTCAACGAACAACAAATTCTCTGTACACTTCTGGATTCGGTATGTGAAGATTGTAGTAGGATTCAAGGAAGTACTAGGAGGTTTGTTGTGTTCGGCTGTAACAAGGAGACGATGCATTTCAGGAGGTTACCGTGAAGGGCAGGTTAGTTGTTATTGTGAAAAGAGTACATAAGGATGTTTGTATCGTACGGATGGGAAGAGAATTGTGGATTATTTTTGTTTACGTTATCCAGTGTAATTAGAAATGCTACACGATTCGCATACACACGAGGAATAACTACAGGTTTTGGATACCAGGCGTTGTAAAAGAAAGAAAGAGGTATGTCGAAACGTTCTTTTTTTTTTTTAGATAAATCTTTTTTTAATAAACATAGGCATTCACTTATGTAGGTTAGTTTTTTAGACTCTCTTACTATTACGGTTTATATAATAATATATGGTCGTTACACATAGAATTCTAACGCGAATACCAACTGGAAGTGAGGCACTGGGTATTTCTGCTCTCCCGTTAATTTTTTTTGTTTTTTTTTTTCTTGCCTTTAAACATTCACCCACTCGAACAAACATCGTGCACACGTGGCTCCAAGCATATGCGGCAAATCTTTTATACTCTCTTACTGGGACCTTCCTTTACGTGTTTCACGTTTGGAAACGCACATATACATCTATACTTATTACAAAATAAGAAGTACACGCTAAGTTATGTTTACTGAGATCATACTAATACATCACAGGGTTACATAGACATAAGATTATTCTCTTTTACTATTTTTTTTTCGTTTAATTCCCGACAGCAGACATTACTTTTTTCCTTGTTGTTCGATCCTTTCAGATCTGACGAGATTCTATAGTCGTTTGCTTTTTCTAGAATTTCTTTTTCTCTCTTTATATATATATATATATAATTTTTTTTTTTCATTCAACGCTGATGGAGGAAAAAGTAATTTCGTAGAGTCTGCCGTTGACTATTCGTTTTCTTCTTTCTCTCCTTTTTTTCTTATTTGTAATTCAATGTTACTTTTCCATTTGTTTTTTTTTTCTTTTCCACGTGCTTACAAGTACAGCGATCGAATTAGAACGGTATCCTCTTTTCGTTTGTTTCTTGTCGACTCAAGTAAAAGATCATCCAACGCGCGTCCTTACTAAAACAGTTACTTCAATTCGATTTCTTATCGCGGATTCGCTCTCATAGTACAGCGTGTATCCTGCAGCGCCCATGAAAGCGCCATTGAAACGTCGAACACAGCGTAACCAGTATGAAAAAACGACCATTAGAATTCCACAACGAATCAATTCTGCCACTCATAGCGCACTTCACGAGTGAACTACGAAAAAAAATAGCTTTGTAACCACCAGTCGTATTTTTGAATTATAATCTCAAAGAGGGGGGAAAAGAGCGAATGGTGAAAAATGTTCCCGGAGGGTGGCGGGTGGGGTGGAGTGGGGGGAAGAGATGACGATTCGAGGAGTGGGGAGGGGGAACAGGGGAGTATACCTCGAAGGATGGTTTTCAACCAAATTATCGTAAACAAAAAACAAAAAAAGAAGACTTGTAATAAACAGCTACCATTATAAAATCAATAATATACCGTTTAAGATACAGAATTACATTTACATTACATTAAGTTCCCTTTTCTTTTTTCAACTTTTTTGCGCGCGAGAATTCATCGGTGACGATGAAAAAGAGTGGTACACGTCGAGGGGGAAATGTTCTCTTTGACTTTCCAAGGTAAAGAGAGTAGTACGCGTAAAGGTTAAGTTGGTGTATTAAAAAAAAAACAAAAAAAAAAAAAAACAAAATCATTCGAAATACAAGATGCACTCTTGCATGATTTTTCAAGAACCGTTTAAAGATCTCCAGAAGCTACGATTTGTACTCTGGTTGGTGAGAATGCTTTCGAGTCAGCCTACACACGCACGCGCTTTCGTTCGAAATTGCGCGTACTCTTGCGGCGAATTTTCTCTCTCTGAAATTCTGGCAGTTATCCGGTAGAACGAAAAAGGTAGACAAAGAGAGAAAACAAAGAACAATGATTTTTTTTTTTTCTTTTTCCATCTAGTGACTACTGGGGAGTACTTTCAAACGGCCTTTATTCTTTTTCCACGCTTAACACACCACCGATAAACTATCTATAAAGTCTGATTCGTAAAAAAATATTAAAAACGGGTGGAATCTTCGTGATGATTTTGTACAAGAGAATGAATGAAATTAAGCAGAATACAAAATTTATCGATAACCTAAAGCTAGACGAAGATTGCGTCTCAACGCGACAAAACGACAATCACAGATCTGATTGTCTGCGTTGATCTTACAAAAAGAATTCACGATCAACGATAGACTCGATACGACTTATATTTCTTTTTCTTTTCCCCAGAGAAAAATCTTTTCCGAACAACGCAATCTTCGCGAAGCTTTCAGTCTTCTAAACATACTAA